TGAGATAAGTATATTTTTGGGAGTAGTATTGAGCACCGATATGGGGATGCGAGTTCATATTAAATCAAGTCTTCATAAACCATGTATCCATCATGGGTGTTAAAGGATCATACTTTTTAGATGATCACTTAAGTTAAGCTAGTGAATACACTAAGTTAAGTAGTTCTATACGATTACAAAGTATAGGATAGTTCTGACAACATGAGCAAGATGCTGTATCACCACTTAGGCTCATAGTAGTGGTTGTCGGTTAGAGAATCTCCCACAGAAACTATGTTACTTCATTATATAATTAAATTTGAGTTTATTATTTCATTCTTTGATAAACTAAGTTGTTTTCGACTGTTTACAAGTTTTATATATATTGCATGTGTCTTATTGCTTTATATTAAGTTAAGTTATTCCTGAGTTGAGAAGAGCCAAGGTATGTGTTCCCTTCATATCCTTTTCAAGCCTAAGTAGTGTTTAGTATTCCAACTCGCATACTCGTACATACAATGTACTTATTGCAATTGGTCTACATCATCTTATGATGCAGACACATGTAATTGAGATCGACATCCGACACAACGTTAATCTAGTGAGCATCTCAAAGTCACTTGGTGAGCAACCTTACATTCCAAAGGACATCTTTTATCTCTTTTTTTTCTTGTTTTTAGTTGTTAGGATGATTGGGGGTCCTGTCCCAACATCCCTCTTTATTTTGGAGGCTTCATAGACATATAACATTAGTTGTTTTGTCTTATTCATTTCAGTTGTACACATCTAACATTTGAGTTGCCTTTTTGATTAAGTTATTATCTTTTAAGTTATTTCATGAGTTATATATCTTCTGTTGAAGTCTTCCGCTGAGTAAGTAAGCCAGACCAAGGGTTCTCTTGAGGCCAACAATTGTCTTGGAGTGCCAGTCCCACTCAAAGTGTAGGCTCAGGCGTGACAAAAGGTTATCGCAATTCGTGAACAATAAAATGTGAGAATATATAGAATTAATATAATGAGTTTATGGTTTGGAAGATTTGCATTTTCATTTCAACATTCGAGCACACATGATAGTTCTCTTTTCAAGCATAAATCTAAATGTGTTGATATCAAACAAGTCAAAAGGTTCTTATAATTGAAATTCATGACTCCTTTTTCTTTATTTTTACTAGTTGTTACTAAAATAATTTGAACTAAATAGAAATTTAAAATTACTCAATTCAAGTCAAATTTCTCAAAAACAATTGATACAAACAGAAAATTAGAAGGAATTTAACCAAAAAAAGTAAGAAACACAAAAATTAAAAAGATGTTAGATGGAGATTATATAACTTAAAAGCATGCACTGATAGACTTCTTGAAGATTAAACCTTCAACTGAATATAAAATTATAGCTCTAATTCAATAGATTATTTAGTTCTTAACTGAATGAGTTCTTCTTTGATAAGAATAAATTTTGCAATGAATGATTATCACAATGCATCTTTCATTTCAACTTCCTATATATCATAAGCTTTAAGAAATGATTTCACTAGAGACAAACTACATGTTATGAATGAAAATTAGTACACCCTCTTTGAAAAAATATAATATTTCTTGGATATTATTTTCATGGAAAATTATATAGCATAAAAATTGAAAATATGTGATACTTTTGGCCGCTCGGTTACAATATATTTTAACTCAATAATATTGGTATGCCCTATGCCCTAAAATGCACCTGGTGACTTCTCCTTCTCATTAGTATTTGTAATTAGTCACTTCAATTCAAGATATAATCCTAATTTTTAGCTTTTCAACCCCTGAATGGAGGATTAGTTGTGCTTGCACTTGCCTAACCAAAATGGGGGCCTTAAGGAAAAAGACTCAAAATGTAGAGTATCAGAAAAGACCAAGCGTATAATTTTTTTTTATTTTGTGGTCTTTGATATTGACAAATACATCTTTATTTATTCGGCAAAACGTTTATGAGTTTGAAGTTAACATATAGGTATATCATTTATCTCTTTTATCATAATTAATATTATTTCATTGATCATATTATTTCATTAAAATTTATACTATGTAAATGAAAATAAATTAAAAATTAAATATTACTATTTTTTTAATATTTTGTAGAGATAAGTATTGAGAATACACTTAAACTAAGAAGAACTATTAATTTTATCATCAAACGTTGACAACTTTAAAGGCACTCATTAACTTGAGTAACTAAATTTAAATGTACCTCCGATATTGCAACATGAGTGAATACATCCTTAAATTCTCATCAAATATAGGGATGATTTCAATACTTCTCTTGACTTTTTATCAAGATTTCCATTCTCCTATGAGAGTTTGAGACCACATGCTATGTCATGTGGCAGATCGAGGGTATACCTAACTTTAGTTAGTCAGGTAAGGGGGGTATTGTTAAGGTTATCAATTGTTCGAGTATGAAAATAATAATTTACGCAAGTCCAAATGTTTTCAATACTTCTCTCTATTTACTATTAATGTATAAATCTATGAATGGTGATATAATTCCTATAAATGGATAGAATGTAAAGTAAAACAGAAAGCGCTAAATTGGATTTTGTATGTCTTTCAAAATAATTTCTATTTAAATGATTTAGGTGTATCATGACGTCTTTTAATTTCTTGACTCGTCATGATTTCACATATCTTGCATATAGTTATCAATGACAATATCATTACTATAAACCATATCTCGTATATAGGTAATACTTAAACCTTCTAATAGATGTGGTATTTGTAATCTTGTTTAGTCTTTTATAATCGTAGATCCAGATCATCCGTATCTCTATGAAACTTATCTTTTGGACTTTAGTAGTAATCGTGGAGGAAGTAATCTGTACAGAACAAATACAATTTACGAACATGAATTTGAGACAAAAGTTTAAAAGTTACCATAGATATTAGGGAAGAAATCAAAAGAGTGGGGTGGGGGCCAAAAAAACTCATTATGGGACTTGCAGATACCCAGTATTACAAGTCAGATTCTACATATTATAGGTCAACACTCAAGGAAATGCAGACTCTTGCTGTTTACACAACTAATTTGCTGGTGACATTGCTCCAGAAATTGGGAATTACACTTCTTTATAAGAATATTTTCTCTATGAGAATCAAATTACAGAAGAAATTCCGAGTGAACTCGGTCTCTTAAAGAATCTTAAGGAGGTTTTTCTTTGAAAGAATAATCTGATTAGGGAAATTCCAGGAAATCTTTGAAACTGTTTTTAACTATCTATATGGAGAAATCCCTCAGTCTTTTGAGAATTCAGCCACATTGAAGGAGCTTATATTATTAGATAACAACATTTCTAATGAAATCCATACTATATTGACCACTTTTCCAGCTTGAAGCAACTTGAAATGGACAACAATAACATTTCAGGTGTGATTATACCATTGGGAGAATATCGACTAAGCTAGCAGATTGTGGGAAACTTTAGTCTTTGGATCTTCCTCACACTTTCTTACAGGGTTGATCTTTGGGCATATTTATATGCCCATAATTCTAAGTATGCCCATATTTATGATGAGTTTGGAGTAGTTAAGATTATGTTTGAAGTCGTATTGAGTCAATTCTGTGTTTATGAGCTAACCGACATGGTTAGTTGTGTAGGGAATTTTTTTGGAAGAAATATGCACGAAAATAAGCAAAGGAAGCAATATGGAGACTTGAGACAAAAGGAAGCGAGGATTAAGCTGAAGAAATGCTTTAAGGGAATACACATTTTTTCCTTGTGTCGCGCAAAAGGAAGCAAAATATCAATGCAAGTATTAGTTTTTAGGCAGAACGCCTCAAGACTCCGCGTTATGTTGATCTAATAATCAAGGTTTGCTCCGCGACGCGCGCCTGATGCTCTTAATTGGCAACATCGACTCTTAGTAAAAATACTGTATTAATTTAGTTTAACAAAGAATTCTTTTTCTAATTTTCGAACAAGAAGGCTAAGAGAACGATACTTTGAAGCTTTTAGGGTTCATTCTCTATCTATTTGTCTTTTAGTCTTCTTTTAATGATTCATAACCATTGCAATATTTATTGTATGACTATGAGTAGCTAAATACCCTAGTTCTAGGGCGGTGGCTACATGATGAATATAATCTGTTGAGTTTGACATGGGTTTTATCATGAATTGTCAATGAATCGTTCTTATGTTCTTGCTCTTGGTATTTCATGCATAATCACTTTAGAAATAAATCTATTGTCTGAATTGAACTCGATAGAGGAATAAGAGGATAAAAAGTGGAGCATAAGGAGTTTGTTCAACTCTAAATAACTAGGGTTGATTAGTTACTCGAATAGAAATATACCTAGAAACCCTGCTTGGATCACCGTACAAGAAGATATATTAATGCTAAATTTTTATTCAGTCTATTATTGATCAAAGATGTTGTTAAGGTGATATTTATTGTAGGCTAGGTTGAGAGACCATGATCATACATCTAAACCTGTGATTCGGCGATGAGATAATTCGAAGGAAATCCACATTAAACAATATTGATTACATGATTCCTGGTAAAAGATGTAGCCTTGGATCTTTCCCACATCACTATTTGAAACTTAAGGAATTGAATTATAATAGTTACACTTTAGCTTAAATAAAATTAGTTAGTTAACAATCTTTACAAAATATGGAAATCTTACCTATGTTGAGTTACGATTTGAAGAAATTGATATGAGTATAGTTTTAAGTTCCCGTGGTTACTAACCCGACTCTCTAACAAGAGCCACTTTATTGCTTGTATGATTACGTGCACTTGCATGTGCAATTTGACTGCAACATGTTTTTGGCTCTTTTGTTGACAACTTGATCTTAGCATTTCATTGTTGCAGTTACTTGATACTCCAAACTGGACAAAGATCAAGAATTGTTGTCGCCTCTCTCGGAACCTGAAAGATTCATACATAGAAGGTGGAGACTAGAAGAATATCCAATCACTTTGGTTGTTGGGGGATTACCATCTCCAACCACTAAGAAAGAGGAAAGAGAAAAAAAACTAAAACAATGGCAGCTAATGAGATGAGAGTTAGAGGTGTGGCAATCCCACGACCCACCTATGTGACTTCATGCATTCAGAAACTTGAGGCTGGTGGGAGATTTGAACTGAAGCAAAGAGTGGTGCAAATATTGCACTCAAATGGACAGTTTACTGGTCTTTCATATAAAGATCCTACGATTCACATTCAGAATTTTCATGAAATCAGTGATACTTACACTCCAACTAGAGAGAACAAAGATTATGTGAGGCTTACTTTATTACCTTTTTCTCTGTTGGGGGAAGCCAAAAGATGGTTGAATTCAGATCCCACAAATTCAATCACCACTTGGAATGATCTAGCACAGAAGTTCCTCATTTGATTATTTCCATTCGGAAAGACAACTAAGTTGATGAGTGACATTTTATGTTTTAGGAAAAAGGGTGGTGAGAAATTGTACCAAGCTTGGGACAGGATCAAATCGATGTTGGTGAGCTGCCCTCATCCCCATCAAGCTAATGAGGTGTTAGTCCATACTTTGATTGAAGGTTTGGAGCCTAACATCAAGATGTTGCTTGATGCAACTACAGGTGGACAAGCTTTAGAGAAGACTTATGCGGAATTATAAACTTTGCTGAATTGAATTTTCAAGGAAATCTAGAGTGTTATGGGAGTGGACTAAAACCAGTAGTTCAGAAAACTACAGGTGTACTAGAATTGACGCTATGTCTGCTTTAACTGACAGATTACTGCCATACAAAATATGACTAATATTCATTTTAGTAACATGTCTTTAGGGCAACATAATTCTCAAGTTAATGTAGTACAACAACCCCATATTAGTGTGATATTTGTGGTGGAAGTTATCATAGTGCAGATATATGTGGTGCGAACCCGGACTCTCTAAATTTTGTAGGTAATGCTCAAAGAGGAGGAGGTCAATAAAACTATGGAAATTATTATAACCCAAGTTTGCGAAAACACCAAACTTTTCTTGGCATGAAAATCAAAATCAAAGATAAAGAGAGAATCAATAAATACCTCAGGGTAACTCACAAGGCTAGCAATGTCAGATGCAAAAGGATCATCCTAAACCCAAATTTGGGAACATGAGTGTTGAGGAGATGTTACAGAAAATTATGGCAGATCAAGCTCAGTTGGCCACAGATGTGCGAAGTAATCAACTAGGTACTCAGAACCTGGAGAAACAATTTGGGTAGTTTTCTAGTGCCCAAAATTCTAGATCACAAGGAGGGTTGCCTGGTAATACTGATTCAAATCCAAAAAAAGGTCAATGTTGTGAGTACTTGGAGTGGTTTACAATTGGAGGAGCTAGCTCCTAAGAAAAACACCCATGAAGTAGTCAGCAGAGAGGGTGAACTAAAAGAGGTTGATACGAAAGAGAAGAAGTAGTTGCACCCACTGAAAAGGTGAAAGCAATAGTCAGACCACCTCCTCCATTTCCTTAGAAGTTCAAGAAAAAAAGAGGATGAATGTTTTGGTAGGTTTCTCTCTTTGCTGAAACAAGATCATATTAACTTGCCTTTGGTAGATGTTTTGCAGGGTATACCTAGGTATGCGAAGCATGTTAAGGATATTGTGGCAAATAAAAGAAAGTTGACTGAATATGAGATAGTTGCACTTATTGAAGAGTGCAACTCCAGGATTTAGAAAAGGCTGCCCATTAAACTGAAAGATCTGGGAAGCTTTATAGTGGAGATTACAATAGGTTAGGGTGTTCATGCCCAAGGGTTGTATGATTTAGGAACAAGCATAAACTTGATTCCAACCTCGCTGTATAAGAAACTGGGGTTGGGTAGTCCTAAGCTAACAACATAATCTTACAGTTGGCTGATAAATTTGTAGTTAGACTTGAGGAAGTGGTAGAAGATATGCTAGTGAAAGTGGGATCTCAAATATTCCTAGTGGACTTTGTAGTATTGAACTTTGAGCCTGATCCTAAGGTCCAGTCATCTTAGGGAGACCATTCTTAGCGACTAGGAGAGCAATGATAGATGTAGCAACTGGGCAGCTCACCATGAGAGCTCATGATAAAGTAGAGGTTTTTGATGTGTACAAAGCTTTGAAGGTGCCGCCGGTATATGAGGAGTTGTCTTCCATCACGGTGATAGATATTGAAGCAGAAGCTAAGCACATAGTAGCTAAGGATCCTCTAGAGCGAGTGTTGAGAGGTGATGAGATCTATGGAGATACTGAGGCACATGAAATTATGCAATTCTTAGATGTGTCACTGATTACAGATGCTGGAGATTTATGGGAGCCATTAAATAGGGTTTAGGACCTCCACCTAAGCCCTCCATTGAAGAAGAGTTGAAAGAGTTTCCAGCTCGCCTCAGGTATGCATTTTTGGGTAAAGATAAACTTTAGCAATCATTTTATCTATAGAATTGTCTAACGAACATGTGGAAGTGACATTGTTTATTTTTAAGAAAAGAAAAGCTGCGTTAGGGTGGCAGATGTCAGACAGCCATGGTATAAGTCCACCTCTGCGTATGCACAAAATATACATAAAGGGAGGGTATTAGTCAAGTACACAACATCAGCGGATACTAAATCCGTTGATAAATGATGTGGTCAGAAAAGAAGTGATCAAATTGTTAGACGCAGGGATTGTATACCCAATATTGGATAGTAAATGTGTAAGTCTAGTGCAGTGTGTGCCCAAGAAAGGTATAATGACAGTGGTGACGAATGATAAGAATGAATTAATTCCCACAAGAACAGTGATTGGGTGGAGGATATGCATGGATTATAGAAAACTTAATGAAGCCATGAGAAAGCATCACTATCCGGTATCTTTCATTGATCAGATGTTGGATAGGTTGCTAGCGAGGAGTATTGCTGCTTTCTCGATAGGTACTCAGGGTATAATCAGAATATTATTGCACCCAAATATTAAGATAAGACGACATTCACGTGTTGATATGGCACTTAAGCATTCAAACGTATGCCATTTAATTTGTGTAATGCCCAACTATTTTTAGAGATGTATGATGACAATCTTCCATGATATGGTGGAAGATTTTGTGGAAGTTTTTATGGATGACTTCTCGATATTTGGTGAGTCTTTGAGTTATGCTTAATCAATCTTGATAGAGTCCTGGCGAGGTGTGAGGAATCAAATTTTGTGCTGATTTGGAAAAAATTTCACTTCATTGTAAGATAAGGAATTGTCTTGGGTCACAAGGTATCCAAGAGCGGGCTCGAGGTGGATAAAGCAAAAGTAGAAGTGATTGACAAGTTTCCACCCCCATTATCGATGAAAGGAGTGCACAACTTTCTTGGCCATGCTGGTTTCTACTGGAGATTCATTAGGGACTTTTCTAATATTGCAATACCTAAAACAGTTTATTAGAAAAAGAGATGAAATTTGTGTTTGATAAGAAATTCTTGGAGGCGTTTGAACTGTTGAAGTAGAATTTAATTGAGGCCCCTATCCTTATTTCACCAAATTGGGAACTTTTATTTGAGATGATGTGTGATGCTAGTGATATTCTTGTTAGAGCAACGTTGGGGCATAAAAAGAAGAAGGTGTTTCATTCCATATACTATGTGAGCAACACACTAGATGCAACCTCAATAAAAAGGAGATGCTGACCTTGGTGTATGCATTTGACAAATTCAGGTCATATCTGGTAGGAACAAAGGTGATAGTCTACACTGATCATACAACTATGAGATATCTCTTTAACAAGGATGCAAAACCTAGATTGATCTGATGGATTCTGCTTCTTCAATAGTTTGACCTAGAAATAAGAGATAGGAAGGGAACGGAGAATCAAATAGCCAATCATCTCTCTAGATTAGAGGACTCGTCTCATGTGTTGAATAAAGACCAAATTCATGACGAATTCCTTGATGAACTACTTTTGACACTGGACATTGTACATGTACCATGGTATGCAGATATTGTAAACTTCCTGGTGAGTGGTTTATTTCCACTCAATTTTACATATCGGATGATTCGTATTTGCTTAAGTAGGGTCCGAATCAAATGAAGAGGAGGTGCATAGCTAAGGAGGAGGCACCACAAGTGTTAAAGAGCTGCCACGCCTCACTGTACGATGTACATCATGGGGGTGAATGAACAACACATAATGTGTTACAATCTTGTGTCTTTTGGCCTACCTTTTTTAAAGTTGTTGTTTTGTTTGTTAAAGGATGCGATTGGTGTAAAAAAATGGGCACCATTTCAAGAAGGCATGAAATTCCTTTGAACAACATTCTAGAGGTGGAGATATTCAATGTATGAGGAATAGATTTTATGGGACCATTTCGATCGTCCAAAGGTAACCAATATATTCTAGTTGCAGTGGATTACGTGTCCAAGTAGGTCAAAGTTGTGGTATTACCAACAAATGATTCTAAAGTGGTTGTAAAGTTTATCAGTAAACACATTTTCACCAGGTTTGGAACACCAAGGGCTATAATCAGCGATGGAGGTAGGCATTTCATCAATAGCTTCATTCATAATCTACTGACTATGTATGGGGTAAGGAATAAAGTGGCAGCGGCGTACCATCCCCAAACTAGTGGACAAGTTAAGGTGTCGAACAGGGAGTTTAAGCAGATCCTTCAAAAGACTGTAAATGTCCAGAGAAAGGATTGGTCCTCCAAGCTAGATGGGGCCTTATAGGCGTATCAGACTGTTTATAGGACACCGATAGGGGTTTCTCCTTATCAAATGGTGTTTGTAAAATCTTGTCACCTACCGGCTGAATTGGAACACAGGGAATATTAGGCAATAAAGAAGTTGAATTTGGACGCCAAGTTATCCGGAAGAAGAAGGGTTGCACAGTTGCACGAATTAGAAGAGTTCAGGCGCCATGCCTATGAGAATGCGAGGGTATACAAATATAAGACTAAAAGATGGCATGAAAAGCACATAGTGGATCGAACATTCAATCCTAGTCAACTAGTATTGTTGTTCAATTCTAGAAAGAAACTCTTCCTAGAAAAGATCAACCTTAAATGGAGTGGTCCATTCGAGGTAGTCTGAATGACCCAACATGGTGTATTTGAGTAAAAAATAACGGTGACAGTTCCACATTCCTTGTAAATTTGAAAAGGGTTAAACATTATTTTGGAAAGGATGTGTATCGTGAGGTCGAAGCAATCACACTAGATGATCAGTGAGACATGATAAGGGTCATGTCGCGACGTTAAATCAGGTCTAGCAGTAGTAAGTAGTTGTTCGAGGACGAACAAAGCTTTACGTGTGGGATAGTGATCTTGGGCATATTTATATGCCCATAATGTTAAGTATGCCCATATTTATGCTGAGTTTGAAGTCGTTAAGATTATGTTTAGAGTCATATTGATTGAATTTTGTGTTTCTGAGTTAAGCGACATAATTAGTTGTGTAGGTATATTATTTGGAAGAAATGTGCATGAAAATGAGCAAAGAAAGCAATATGGAGATTTGAGACAAAAGGAACGAGGATTAAGCTGAAGAAATGCTTCAAAGGCATACACGTGTTGTCCTTGCGTCGCATAGAAGGAAGCAAAATATCAATGCAAGTATTATTTTTAAGGCAAAACACCTTGTGAAGACCCTGCGTCGCGCAATGTGGCTTCTAATGTTGATATGAGAATCAAGGACTTATC